TATGTCCAAGACATCTGCAGTATCCGCAGTCATTACATCGTGATGACATCTGTCTAACACCCTGTGTCTTGCGATTTTCATTCCAATCTCTGTTTTTGTTCTTCTTCAAATTCTGCTTCACCATCGAAACTGATTTGTTCTCTGGAATTTCAACATCAGCAAGAAGTCCACCCCGGACAAATGTAATAGGTTTTCTATGTGAGGACTCACAAAAACCTATTCCCTTGTGATCACCAAAAGGTTTTCCAATCGAAAGTACTTCATCCAATTTCTCCTTTCCCTTTCGAAGTTTATCATTCTCTTGTTTCAGCTGCACATTTTCAGCCTTTAATCTGTCAGCTTCAGTTGATTTCTCATGAAAATCCTTCTTCAAAATTTCAATTTCATCATCCAACTTAACATTTCCTTTCCGAAGACGATCATTCTCATATTTTAGCCTCAGATTTTCATTCCTCAAAGCATCTGATTCAGTTGACTTAGCAGCAACATCATTTTTCAGAACTTCGATCTCATCTTCTAATTTTTCATTCTGAGCTTCCAATCGATAGATGGTATCAAGTAGCTCTTTGTTCTTCACCACAGATTTCTTTTGCTCTAACACCATCTCCTCATAGGCTTCAATCAACTCATCAGCATCAAGCTCTATGGATTCCTCTGAAGCTTTATCAGTAGAAGCACCATCATCTTTAATAGATTCAGATTCATCGGCCATGAAAGCAACAACTTCATCATCTTCAGCTCGTTCCTCGACACAGAAAGTTTCCTCTTCATCATTGTCACTCCATGTTGCTTGATATGCTCTTTTCTTCTCTCTTTTCTTCACCGTTGGACATTCAGATTTAATGTGACCAATTCCTTCACATCCATAGCAGGTAGACTCTTGAACTGATTCAAGCAACTTCTTCTTGAATCCACCATCGAACTTCTCTTTTGGCTTGCTGTAATTTGATGGTTTCTGTTTAGCGTATTTCCGTTGTGAACTAGACGTACTCACACCCTGATAACCACCACGGTTCTGAAACTTCCCATATTTCATCTTTGCTGCACGTTTCTCACTAATCATCCTTGAAAATTTTCGACTCAGAAATGCCATTTCCTCATCAGATTCGATCAGCTCTATGTCCTCCACACTTAAGGCCATGCTTTTTTAAGTTTCATCTTTGAGATAATTCATTTCATAGCTCACCAAAGTACCATATAATTCATCCAACGTCATATTTTCAGCTTTGGTGGTTCATTGAGCATAATCACCTTTGGCCTGAAATTTTTTGTGAGACTTTTAAGCATCTTCCTCACCAGCCTCTTTTTTTCAAAGTGCATTCCAAGAGCTTCTGCTTGATTGACAACATCCACAAAGCGATTATAGTAAACAGCGATTGTTTCGTCCTCATTCATCTTCATTCCTTCGAACAATGTCTCCACATGATCTAGTTTAGATTATCGGACTTGCGCTGAACCTTCGAATGCATTTTCCAGAATGTCCCAAGCTTCCTTGGCAATTTTGCAGTTTGATATAAGCTTCACCTGAGTTTCATCCACAGCATTAAAAATCGAAAATAGGGCCTTCAAGTTTGCTATTCCAGCAGCTTTTTCATTTAACGTCCATTCTCTCTTCGGTTTCTTCACAAGAGTAGTAACACCATCTTCATCTTGAATGGTTTTCATATGATGAGACCATGCACACTCAACAACATCAGAAACATCTTCACCTTGAAGCATCAGAAAGGCTTCAATTTTATTCTTCCAACTTTGGTAATTTGTCCCATCGAACAATGGAGGTCTTGATGTTGAACGTCCTTCCTTACTCATGTCTGCAACTGTGACCAGATCTACTCAATGAATTAGAGAACACTGCTCTGATACCAGATGTTGGGGAAGTGATTTATCGAACAAAACACATTCGAACACTTTAAAGGGCCAACTCCCGAAGTGTGGGCGGTTCACAGTTATAACTACGTTTCAACAACGAAAAACAATGCAGAACATAAAACAACAATAAGACAAGGTGTTTATTGACCCGGTTCGATTATCAACCAATCTACATCCGGGGGATACCAATCCAGGAGGAATTCCACTAACCAGTGCTGATTAAGGACACAAACAACCACAACTCATTTAACTCTAATGCTAGTCATGGCTAACTCAGGAAAATACCTCCTAAGGTTCTCGTTGCTACAACTTCGTACTAACAACGACCACACAACAGAGAATTCTAGAGCTTGATCATTCCCTCCGGTTGGAACTCCATTAATTCCGAACACCTTCGACCTCTCCGGCGAATTTTTCTGTCAAAAACCTCATTCAAAACTAAGGAGAATCGATGTGGATAGATGGATGAGAGCTTCACTCAATATTCTTCTCTTGAAAGTATGATCTCCAAATCACACATTACCAATCTTTAACCCTATCCGGTTGAATAAATCACTCACATTCTTGGAATAAAAGATTCCACACTAATTTTCCTTTGCACCGTAATGGAATGAGTGAGTTTTCATATTTTGATATTTCCTCAAATATGTCTTTTGTCTTTTGGAAAGTCTTTGCTGCAGAAATTAAGACACCATTAGTTCATATGCCAAAATAACTTAGGGGAATTTCCACAGTAGCGATTGCGGATTTTCACATTATAAAAATAAAAATAAAAATAAAAATAGAATAAATAGTTTTAAACCAACTATCAAAGGAAAGACAATCTAACTTTAAGATTTTAACAAAAACACCAACAACAAAAAATTGTAACACACTAAAGGAAATTATTATCCAACTATCTTTAAACAAAAACAACATATAATGATTTAGAAGGAAACTATTGTAACTAACAATGAAAAAAGAACTTTCAAAACCCACGCAGCACACATCTAAAGAAGATGGTAAACCCATCTGAGGGAATAAACTTAAAGGTGTGTTTGTTTGGGGGTTTGGATTTTAAATTGGGATTTGAATAGTAAAAATTTTAAATTTGAATAGTTGTATGATGTGATATAAATAGGTTTTGATGTGATGTTTTGAATGTAAAATTGATTTTTAGTATAATATAAAAAATAAAAAATAGGTGTTTAATTTGATGTTTTTGGGGGGCAAAAATAGGATGAATAGTGGAATTTAAATCCAATCCCCCAAACAAACACACTATTTCATGCTAAGAATGAATCGATTAAATGAGGGAGTAGAGTTAAAAGACGATCGCATGTTGCAGGTTTAGAACATCTTTTGCAATGACTTTTTTTATTACTATTATGATTGTCTTTTCAATTTTTACTATAACAACTAATTATCTTTCTCATTACCTTTTAAAAAAATATAGTTGTTCATTATTTATTACTTTTTCAAGAATTGATTAACTTCAACAAAAATTAAAAATAATAATAATTAAATTGAAATTTTAAATTTAACATAAATTTATCTATATATATCTTGCATTCGAATAATTTCAATTTTTAAAATAGTAAATTATATGTTTCAATATATTAAAATTTATATAGATTAATATTTAAAAATTAAAAATATAACTTTATATAAAAATATTATTAGACAATAAAAATATATAAAAATATGCATAAATAATAATTTTTATATATATTATGTAATAAAATATATAGAAATAAATAAATTATTATGAGTCCTATAAAATATTAAATATAATGCGTTGAAGTTGAAATGCATATGATATGGATGAGATAAATAAAAGATGCTTCTATGAGTTGGATCCGGATTACATAGGGTGTGTTCGTTTGTAGGATTTTGTCAAACACCTAGTATTCATCCAAAATTTTTCTCCAAAAACATTATATCAAACACTTATTTTGTTATTTTTATATTATACTAAAAATCAATTTTACATTCAAAACATCACATCAACACTTATTTATATCACATCATACAATTATTAAATTCAAAATTTTTACTATTTAAATCCCAATCCAAAATCCAAACCCCCAAACAAACACATAGTTTAACCTATGGGTTGGGCATGGCCGCATGAGTTGTGGGTTGAGTCGGACCAAAGTATCAATAATAATTGTATGTTTTATTTTTTGTCAAAAATTTCAATGAAGTTTCTAAAATAATTTCGGTTCAAACTTTTATAATTTTAAAAATTATAAAATATATATATTAAATTTTTTCAAATTTGATGATTTTTAAATATTTTTAAATACTTATAAAAAAATATTTTAATTGAATTAATATATATATATATGTATATATTAAGCTATGTGAACAAAATGGTCAACCTATGTAACTTTAGAAAAGATAGTAAACATAATTATGTTAAAATATGATAACGAACAATATACTAAACAATAAGATAATAATTATGGTCATATTTTAACAGAGCAAATAATGTTTTGTTTACTATTTGTAAAACTTGAATTAGCTTTTTAAGTCATCTACAGTACACTAATTACACAAAATCAAAATTAATTATTTTTTTTTATGAAATCAAAATTAATTATTACTATAATTTTTAATAAGATCAAAAATATTTTTTTTCCTATTTATAATTTTGGAATATTTTAAAAATAATAAAAATGGACTAAAAGATTAAAAAAATAAATTCTAATAAGCCTTATACAAATATAATTAAAAAATTATTTTTCATTCTCAACGAAAATACATGCCCCTTTGCTACTGCGATCCATGCAACCAAAAATTATACTGTCTTCGTCCCAAACACGGTGTAACATTTGCTTTTGGTGCAACATTTGCTTTTGGTATGAATTTTTAAGTAGGTAGTATTAAGTAAGATAATTTATAAATTAGATGGTGTGACTAAGAAAGAAATATATATTTTATTTTTTTTATTGGAATGATGTGAGAGAATAAAATATAAAGTAAAAATTAAATCATATTTTAAAAATATTGAAGAGTATTTGGAATATACCAAAAAAAATATTGCAGAATATTTGAGACGAAGTACATTCATTTTATTATATTATTATCTAGTTCTATTATATCGGACCCTCCGGTGACGGGCGACTGATAATACTTCATTTTATTTCTACCCAATTTCTTCTGCTCGTTTTTTTTTTTTTTTTTTCTTCCCTTTTTTCCACCGTCAACGGAATTTTCCTTTTGATTTCCCGTTCCGAGAGCCACCACGAAATCTAGCGCTCCGGAAATCTAGCTGAAGGCGCAGATCACTCGTCTGTAGCTGGAGAAATCCGCGATTATGAATCGGAATAGGACTGATAGTCCGGTCTACACCCGCCAGTGGAGCGGCGGATCCAGCAGCACAGGTTTGTCGTCGCCGGTGGGATCGCCGGCGCATCCTCGGTCTAGGCTTCCTCCCGCCACCACGGGTATGTCGACTATCAAGCGAACTCAGAACGTGGCGGCTAAAGCGGCGGCGCAGCGACTGGCGATGGTTATGGCGTCCAAGACGCCGAACGACGATGATGAGGAAGAGGAGGACGATGATTTGAATTTCCGGTTTGTGCCTCCGCCGCCGCCGACTTCAATTTCGAATAATAGCAGTATTCATAGGAGAGACCATAGCGACAGCACCGGTGGTTTGTCGGGAATTTCGCTCTCCAAGCCGAATAGATCTCCGTCGCCTGCGGTAAGAATTTGATTTTCTGTTTCCCTGATGGATTAGTTTTTGTTTACTTGGGGACTCTGTTGATTTGTTTGAAGCAGCAGATCATCTTGATTTGTTTGCTGTGTCGTATTCAATGTTGCAGGACCCATTCAGGGAGTTAATTTAATCATATGCTGCTTCGATGCAATGTGATGACTTATGTATCTGCCATCTTTATGTTGTTATCACCTACTTAACTTCACAAAAAATATTGGGTTGACTGTTTAGGCATTTGCAATCAGGATATAAATTTGCATCTAGTTTGTAATTTGCTTGAGGTCAATATGTTCTATATATTCTCCTGAACACATGATGGTTGAATTCTCTTTCAGCTTGTGATTTTATTTATTTAATTTTGTTTTAAGCTCTTTGTTATCTCTTTAAGTGTTTTTCCAGTCACAAGAGTCTACTTTGATATTTGTTAGACTGCCAAGTTTACCTATTTCTTTGTCAATGTATAAGAATATTCCCTTTGAATTTAGCACTTTCTTTCCTATATTTTTAATCTTTTGAAATTTTCACTTATGGACAAATCAATCTATTTAAATTTCTTAAAAGTGTAAACCCATGTTTCGTTATTAAATTAGTAAAAAATATAATAAAATCATTAAGAAATGCTAAAATCTTGCTCACTAGAACAAATGAAAGAATTATAGATATATTGAAAAATACTACATATATGAAGCCATCATTTACTAACTAAAACTAAAAAAACTCTCCCATGCTTATTATGCAAGAGAGAAATCCAACCGAAATATATAAAAACCAACATAATGAAGTTCCCTTTTGCTTCACCGTAAATTTATGTTATAGATAGTGACAATTTCTGGATTTATTTAATTTTTTTTTTCGGATATAGGTAACTGTGTTGTCGATGCAATACATCCTGTTGCATTTAGCCATTTCTAATTTTACATCTAACTGTGGAAGCTGAATGCTATTCTTTTACTTTTCTTATATTGCTAAGGAATATATATATATATATATACATATAAAAAGCTCTAATTCTATTTATTTTATGAATAAGTTTTAACATGAGTCTGAATGACCTCAAGGGGCATGATCTGTGTATGCATTAAAGTTCTTGGGGAAATGAATTGTATACATCACCTTGTTCTTGACAGACTTATTATTTTTTAAGCATAGGGCATCTTCCTTAATAATTGATTTTTAGAAACAGATCAGACCTTGCTAATTGACAGATATTAGCGATAATCTTAGTGGTAGTTCATGTTGCTGGCACTAGACATCTATTTTATTCCTATCAATTCCACATCAGCATGGATTGGCTGAATAAATATATATATTTTTTAAATCAACAGCTCTTCGCAAGAGAAGTACTGATGACGGAAAGTAATAAAGTAAGTTTTTAAAAGTTTGATTTAATGCAGAAGTTCTGTATTCTTTTGATTGGAAAGGAGAGGCTTCAGTTCTTGCACAAAAGTAGATTGCTTATTTGGGTGTTCCATTAACAGAATGCTCTTATTTTTCTGAGAAGTTGTTCTTTTTGGTCTGCATGTTTTGCATGTTTTGTTGTGCATCAGCTCACATGATAGTGGATGATGAGTATTAGCTTGTCCTTTTCTTCTTCATTTTTGTTATTATTATTATTTTAAATTCCAATTTTTATGCTATGTAGTTAGGTCGAAACTTTATGGACGTTACTCCTTCGGTTCGATCTTCGTCAGCTGGAAGAACGTCAATGTCTGTACGCACAGCTGCGAATACAGTGGCACCACCAAGACCATCTTTGAAAACACCAGTCTCAATTCCTGCAATTGAACCTCCTAGTAGCAGATTAAGAGAAAAGAGGTAAGAATATAATTGATCACTTGGTTCAAATCTGAGAAATTTCGAGAAAGTTTCTTCTCTATATTGAGCTATCTATACAAGATTGAAACCCATATTTTTCTTTTACAATGAATATAGACTACGCTAAATCTGGAAATATTATACTGAAATAAATAGGCATGATTTTACGTAGATTCTAGCTTATTGAGGGCAATCTGTCCATATCCGACATATTTCCAATACCCACCTCAAGCTAGTTTGAAAATGTTTTGCATTTCCATTCTACAGAAAATCTTTTGAAATTGACTAGATGCAATTCCCTTTATGAAGACATTGGCTAGTTGGTATTCTGAACAAAGGATAGGAGCCCAAATGATTTCTTCAATTTTTACTTTAATAAAGTGAGGATCTATCTCATATACATGCTTTGTTTGATCATGTTGGATAAGATTATGTGCTATGCTAATTGCTGCTTTCTTATCACAATGAAGCCTCACTTAACTCTTTAAGAAGACTAGTTCAACCCCATCTCCCCCCCCCCCCCCCCCACAACCCCTAGCTTCGATTTCTAAAGGGATTAATCTGAATTAAGCCTCAGCTGTAGATCGAGCCACCTCTGATTTTGTTTTTTTTACTTCTCAATGAAATCAAGTTTCCTACTTTCCCCCTGAAAGAAGTTCAATATCCTGATTAAACATGGGTGTAAACTTCAACTTCAACTTCAAATTCACTCATTTTGTAAAATAGAAGACCCAAGACTGGAAAACTTTCTAACTAAATGAATCTAAAAATTGCTTTCAAATGCTTTCTTGTGGATTATGTATGAATTGGCATACACGTTTTTTCCTGTAAAACATAATTTTCTCTGTCTGCAAAACCTGCAGATATACTTCTGACGTCGGACGTGACTTAAAAGATTCTGGGAATCAACAGGAGGCTTCTGCACTTCGAGATGAAGTATGCCTTTTAACTTTTAAATTTCTTTAATATTTCTAAACATTGTTCTGTAATTAGTACTAATGCTGCTTTCCATAGGCACTTGAATGCTCTCATTATTGTTGGTTTTACCGTGAATAATTTTTAATGAAAATAAACTGTGTATATTCAGATCATTTGACATGTATCTTATTTGCAGCTTGAAATGCTACAAGAGGAGAATGAAGAAATGTTAGATAAGGTGACTTTTCCCACTTGCCTCTTTGAAAACTAATGAAAGTTATTCAAGGGATATAATAAAATATGGATACTGAAAAGGATCTTCTTTGAAGTATATTTTGTGGAATAACGCCTAGTTTGTTCCCACAGCTTCGCTGTGCTGAGGAAAAACGTGAAGAAGCAGAAGCCAGAGCCAGGGAACTCGAGAAACAGGTTAGTCTTACAATAACAGTTATATATTAAATTAACTTTGTTTCATCATTTTAGTTATTAACATCATAATTGTGTTCATTCCTTTGTTTCAATCTTTGTTATTCTTTCTTCTGAAGCTTTATGACTTGTTCATTTGACTACAAAATAATTGAATGCTTGCTGTACTCTCTCTGTTTTCAGTTTTCTAATTTCAGGGACTACTACTCATAATTTTATATTTAAAATATCATTAACTAGATAGATTGAATTTTCTGTAATTGCAATCCTTATGGTTTACACCTTGGTTTGATCACCAGTTAATTCGCCACATTCAATCATTCTTAACTTCTTGATTTAAATTTAATAGGTTGCTTCATTGGGAGAAGGCGTATCCTTAGAAGCTAAACTATTGAGCCGGTAATGTTCGAATGCTCGACTGTTGTGTAACCTCATTATCTGCACTTAAATATTTCTGATAGTTTACCATTTACAGGAAGGAAGCAGCTCTACGGAAAAGAGAGGTATCTCATGTTGGCATTCTAGTGTTAATAAATATTCTACTTATGCTAAAGGGTGTATGAAGTGGGTATAACTGCTTGCGTATTTACATATCCATCCATTCAAGCTGAATTTCTCTGTTTTCCACATCAGGCTGCTTTCAAAGCAGCAAAGCAGACAAGAGATGGAAGAGAAGAACTTGCAGCACTTCGTGCAGAACTTAAGGTGGTTACAAATTTCTTAATGAGTTGTTTTTTCTACCTTCAAATTAATATCATCTTGACTTTTGATGATGTTTGAAACATTTGGTCAGAACCTAAAAGATGAGACAGCAGCTACTGTTGAACAACTTCATGATGCTGAATCTGAAGCAAAATCTCTTCGAACAATGACACAAAGGATGATTTTGACTCATGAAGAGATGGTTCTGTACTCTATTCTTATTTTTTTAAAAAAAAAAATTCCATTAAAACAGAATATTAAGTTTACAGCTCTATTACACTTCTATTTTGGATTTTAATATTCAGGAAGAGGTTGTTTTGAAGAGATGTTGGCTTGCACGTTATTGGGGTTTGGCTGCACATTATGGTAATCTACTTAAAACAACATTGGTCAAAAAAAATAAAAAATGATTCTCTATGGTATTCGTGTTATAATAAACTGCCAAACTTATGAATATGGTAGCTGAAGAAACTTGGTTGTCTCACTCATGGTTTCTATTATTTCACGGTTCACCTGTGTTTAATCTACAAGGAAAAATTTATAGTTATGTGTTTTTTTTTTTTTTTTTTTCAACTTTCTTCAATGCAGGTATATGTGCAGATGTAGCAGTTTCCAAGCATGAGCACTGGTCATCTTTAGCACCACTTCCCTTTGAGGTTGTCATCTCTGCTGGACAGAAAGCCAGAGAGGAATCTTGGGATGGTCTGTAACTTCTGTCTGACAGAATTTGGTCATCCACAAAGTTTCCACAAATGTTTCATGTAAACTTTCTTCCAAGACTAACCAGGCCTTTATTCATTCTGACTTTAGCAGGTGGAGATGATTCTGATCGAAGCAAGATTGCTCGTGATCTGAATGATTTAACTGGGGAAGGAAATATTGAGAGCATGCTTTCAGTTGAGATGGCATTAAGGGAATTAGCTTCCTTGAAGGTTCTAGATTTTTTATTATTTAATTCATGTAACTCTACTATTCTGATGCTCAGTTTCAGTTTCATGTTTAGCATCAACTATTTTAGCTCCTCTACTGCAGCCTTGGAGGATGCTCCTATTATAGGATATTATATGCTGGTTGTTCACTTCTTTTCTTATCCATTTTATTGAAGATTGAAGATGCTGTTTTACTTGCACTAGCCCAGGGTCGACGTTCGTCATTATTTCAGCAATCCTTCTCAGGTTTGGTCAACAATGTTAACATTTATAATGTGTTTCATGGAACATTTGTATATTATTACAGTAGTTGTAACTTAAGAAAGTTGGGCAAATCAATAAAGTTTATATGAATCTTATATGCCTTGAGATAAATCCAGTTTCTTTTTAAGTTTTTAATTGGTCATGAAGTAGATAGTATGTTAGTTTGCATCTATGTGAATGGAAAGATTACACCTTATTCTTCAATAACATTTTCATTCAGATAATTTTTGTCCATCCATTTTAGCTGCTACTCATTGAAAGTACTCTTTATTAAATTGCAGTGGGTAAATTTTCTGGTGATCCAAAACACTTGGAGGCATCTGGTGAGAAACTTGTAGTGTGTTTGTTTGTGTTTATGTTCTCATGTTTGTTACTATCTACAATGAAATTGTTTTTTCTGCTAAAAACCATTATATTAAAATACCTATATTCGATTAAAAAACATCTTATTAAAAAACCCTATCTTCCATTCAAAAATTTCAAATCTGAAACACCCGAACACATCCCAACATACGCTCTTTACTTACCTCTGATAGATATATAAATTATATTGTGTGTCTTTCCTTTTCAGCATTGAAGATTCAAAAATTAAATTAATATTTGAACTACTATGTTCATATGCAATCCTGAATTAACTTATCTCTTCATCCCTAGTACCAACTACCGACCATTTTGAAATGTTATAATTCAGAATATGAATTTTGCTTGCAGAAAATTTGAGTCAAGAGGAGTCTGAAGATGTTCTTTTTAAGGAGGTTTGCTCTGCTTATTTTTATGTCCCTGCTTCTTTAATGTGATAATTCAAGACTGCCTGTTAATACCTCTATTGTTTGCTCTATTTTGACTTCGAGTATCATATTAGTTTACTCCTGTAACAATTAACATGTTACATGATGTTTTAAATTGTAATGTAATGATGTTGCATGACATATTTATATTAATTCGGATTGAGAAGTGATGCCTTTGTACAAAAGAAGTGCATGGAAATGTTGTCAATGTGTAGATGAAAGTTAGGCATCCTTGCACTATCACATTTTATCTATTAGTTAAGAGTATCATATTTGAGGGCATCAGTTACATTAAAATTTTCCTGGAACACGTTGGACTCAGGGTATTGTTGGATAATTTTAGTAAAACTGCTAAAATCCATATAATTCGCAGTGGAACCCTTGAACTGGATGGATTTTTGTTTATGGTTCTGTTAATTAAATGTCTATATTGTGTTTAAAATGGATGTATCTTCTGACACTAATTTCTTTTATGATTTGAATTCCAATTAAGTGTGCACTTTCATTGGTTAGATTGTTTTGGCGTTCCTTTCATATTTTGGTGACACATCTGTTATTAGAGTAGTTATATCTTGTTTCACTTTTTATGTTTCTAGTTGATGGACTAATTAGCTGTTTACAGTCTTAGAAGACTGCTCAAGAAGTACAATTATATATATATATATATATATCTTTACTGCTTTCGTATTTTTTAGCATTTTAATTGATACTTGTATTGTAAGATGACATCAGTACATCAACCATAGTTGAAGTTGTGACCCATAAATAGGCTGTCTCTGATAAAGGGGCTCTTTCAAATGTATTTGCATATACCAATCTCATCTATATCATAGGCATGGCCTCCCAATCCATGGAAGCTGTAGCTTGTCCATTTTCTGACCTTAGAAAGCTGTTGAGATGTTCATAGATAATATGCATTTGGCTGGATTCATAGGCATAGCTTAAACTGGTATATTTGAAATTAAGTTGTAAACCTTTCGATGTTCGTGCATCACTGTATTATTTCTGTGTTCTAGGCTTGGCTTACGTATTATTGGAGAAGAGCAAAAGCGCACGGTGTCGAGGAAGATATTGCAGAAGACAGACTTCAGTTATGGATAAGCCGCAGCAAGCATTCTCCAACAATACACGATGCTGTAGACGGTAAGCTTTTTGTTTCCACGAGTCTGGCTAAATAGATCCTTGTTTGTAGTTAGTATCTCCATGTTGTAATTTGCACTGCATTTTATGGTTTTATGAAGAGTAGTAACCTGACATTAACATTAATGGCCTGTGGAGTGTGGATATTTAAGTTGGGTGCTATGTTGGATGATGTCCACAGTGGAGCGTGGCGTAACAGAGCTGAGGAAATTGGGAATCGAACAGCAGCTGTGGGAGGCATCACGTAAAGAAATCGGGCAGCCAACTTGGACAATTGCCAACGGCAAGCATGCCCCTCCAGAACCAGAATCCCAGTGAGCTGGTACATTTCCCTTGGCTATTATTCATTTTTGTTTCAAAATACTATTATTATCATCACAAAAATTTCCATTACTGGGTAGTTTTGTAGATTTCAAAAATGTAAAGTTGTTTGTATCAATCGAGTCATTTCATCATTATCACTACCTCGTAGATGGGATTTTGCAAGTAAAGGTTGAGAGAGTTTGGTTTGTGTGTGAGCTGTTTGTTGAGAATTCGTTAATCGTCGGGTAATAATTAATTGTTGAATTTGTGTAAGGATGTGGATGAGTTCCTCAGGTAAGTAATTTATAGAACCAAATAAGAATTTTATTGAATGAGGGGTGTAGAAAAAAGCATCCGTGGATATTTCATATAGTATGTGTATTCGAATTGGATTAGATTTGGGTTCAATTTCAAGTCATATAACAACTTACCTTTAAATATTGACGAAATGGGATTGTTTGCCGTGTGGGGTCTGTCTCTGCTACTTGGCTGCACGAGGGTTGTGAGTCTTCTGACTGACAGCATGTTTGCTGCGTTTGTGTACCTCTTTATCACATTAAATATTATATTATTACTTAAATGCAAAACTCAATAGAAGTGGTAACGGTTAGGTCATAATAAAGATATGTGGTAGGTCATAATTATAAGTATTATAAGTGTGTTGTATTGGTTTATAATTATAAATGTTATAAATGTATTGATTAACAGTATATATGGTATGTTGAAATCAACTATTATTTGTACTGTGCAAGACTATAGCATATACTGTTAGTTTATGTGTTATATTTGTGTTGTTGGTTCATAATTACATGTGTTGTATAACAGTACGTGGTGTACTGAAATCAAATATTGTTTGTGTTGTACAAGGCTGTATGCCCCATTAGTTTATGTCTTGTATCATATGAATGCATATGGATTGTCTATAACAATACCGTGTGTTGTCTGACCGCACATTGTGTGCTGCTGAGTGTTGTGAACATGGTGCTAAATTTTAAAGTTTAGCACCAAGCAGTACATCTTATAATTTTATACGATATATATATATATAATATAGATAGACTTATATATATATATATATATATTGGTTGATAAGTTTGATTTGGAAAAAGCTCATAAAGCAAAAGAAAATTAAACAAAATAAATTGGACTTGCTATACATACATATATATTTTGGGGAATTGGGCCTCCATTTCAATGGAACCGTCCCTCGTAGCAATTGCAGCTGCATCATTATAGAAAGTCTTTCTTTGGTGGTAAACTTTCGGTCAGCCGTCTCCCCCTCGCACAGTAGAAGCTTTGCTGGGGCCAAAATCTTTTTTTTTTCCACTTTTCTCTCTCCACGTCACTATTTTTTTTTTCACTCCCAATTCTGCCATGTTCGCCTTCGCCAAAGCTTTTCCAACCTCTTTCAAATTCAAATCCCTCGTTTATCAACATTAAAGCCTCTTCAACTGCTCTAAAATCTATAATGCCTCCGGAGTTGAATATAATATTATGAGTCGGGAAGGACGGGATATCCATGAAGTTGAATAAAAAGTTAAAATTGATTGAACAGACTATTTGTGTCAACAATATGTATAATTCTTTTTGGAGTTTTACTGAAAGAATTTTATAGTAAAGTATTTAATTTTTCAGAAAGTCTCCCAGGTGTACGTGAGTAAACACGTTAAAATGACTCATGTTGGCCTGTGAAATCAGTTTACGATTCCAACACACCCGGCTTTGCGGGGTTTACAGGCCGGAGTGTCACAAAATCTCAAAATTGTTGAAAATTTTGATTCAATCCAAAAAGTCGATTGTCGACTCCAATCAACCTTTGGAAACTCGCGAGACCTATAGAAATTTTAAGAAAAGAAGCAATAAGTACCGAAATCGAAATGCAGTTTTGTAGGGTTTCGAAAGAAGACGAAAGGTGAGTGGTGGGAGGGAAAATAAGTTTTTTTTTTTTTTCTCTCTTCGTATATGATTAACTTTTCGTTTGAAAATAAAGCTACGGGACGATTTAATACAATATTTCATTCTAGGTACTCGAAGGGTCTTGACACCCAAGTGTTAAAAAGGCTATTTTTTCAATTCCTATTGCAATTTGTAGCTATATCGTTTGTTTTAGCTTTCATTGCGAAAAATTTATCTTTCGTTACGAAAGTCAAATTTGTCACCAAGACCTTTACCAACGCGGAATAGGTGACAAAACTCATTGTATCGCAAATTTTTTGGTACGAATTCATACATTTTGCTACAATTTTTTTTTTTTTTATCTAAATTTCAATTTTTTTGTAGTGTTTCTAAAATATTGAAGTTCCATCATAAATAAATAAAATAGTTTGTTTGAAATTTTTCTTTAGGTACATATATCAACATCAACATAATTAATTAATTCATTTTTTAAATTCATTCGAGTAAAAAAGAAAACGAGATAATGTCTTTCTTGATGATAATGAAAAATATTTTGATATCATTTCAATGAAGTTTTCTATGGGACCCATTAAGTCTTACAAGTAAATTTATTGAAGATGATATATTTAACCTAATACAATTTGTAAAGTACATTAGTTTTTACCTTTAGCACTAAGATAAGGTACTTTAACGTGAAATGTCTCTTTATTATATTTTCTTGGCCTAAATGAAATTTTATTGGAATTGAGAGATTTAACCATTGACGTGCTCAATGTGATATATCTGTATAAAATTAGTTAAATATCTTTTGAGTTTATGTAGACTGATACATAAATATTTTTATTATTTATATAATTTACTAGTAATCTTAGATAATATTTTATCTTTAAAAATCTTTAATTTTATTTTTTTAATATTTAACTGCAATTTGAAACTTTTTTAGGAATTTGAATTAAATTGATATTATCAATATATATTTCAATAATAATAAAATTTCATCTATTTTTTTTTATGAAGTATGAATATATTGGATTATTACACTACAAAAAAAATAGTATAATTGTAATGGAATTCCATTCCTAAAGTTCACGTAGCTAAAATAATTTTATCTCTAATTCCGTCTCTAATATCATTAGTAACGGAAAAAGTGAATTTAGGAACGAAAAAACATCGTTACAAAATTGATATTTTCTTGTAGTGTTAGTATAATATTATTTTTTAAGCATTACTGAGACGGTTATATCACATTCATCGTAATTGTTTGAATTCATACAAAAAATTTTGTAATTTGATGATATATAACTTCCTTTTGATTTTCATAATTCAAGCATAATGAATTTTTTTTAATTTTTTTATGTGAACGTAGTATCTAATGAACTATAAAGATTATCATTAAATACATCTAAAAGACACATATTGAGTCTAGATATTTAAAAGTTATTTTTCAATGACTGAAGAGTATATTTCATCAAAATTTATTTATTTGTACCCCACCTATTTTATATCATCTAGTATTTGGATAGTTGACCCAATTTTTTTTTTTTGGTCAATGATCAAGTTCTAATTAAATCACATCCTCTGGAGCGGAGCAAATATATTTACCTTAGTTCTCTCAAGTCAGACTTTTGAAACGAATATGTTCATTATTGATATGAGTAGTCTGATCACTCCATTTAAGGTAAACTCAATCAATCAAATAGTTTAGCACCGGCTCATCCATGCACGAGAGTTGATCTAACATCCGTCAAACTCATTTCTCTATTCAACTACGGGGTATTACAATCATAGTATTCAATATCATGCTCTTCTTGAACAATTATTTCAAAGTTGACTTTCTCATTAGATTGAGACTTATCAATATTAATCCTAATATTTTCTTGATTACCATCATTTAATTTTTCTATCTTTTGACGATATTTATCCTTGGAACTAAGTGATCTACTTTTTACGCGTATAGTTGTTTCATTAACATTTCTAGTTTCCCATCAAAAATGATTATTTTATTTGAAAAATTTTCAGCATTAATATAAAATCGAATGACTATGTTAGAGTAATTGAATATATCTGATAATTTATTTAATTTTTTTTTTCAATTGTATAATACGTTAAAATTTTAGTTTATACTGTTTACTATGAAAATCCCAAAATTTGAATAGGATATTCTAATAGTTACCCACCAAAAGCCAATAAAAATTAAAAATTAGGGAAAGTCCAGTAGCCCGTAGACCCGACGACCAAGGTGGAAAGAGACCAACCTACATGGTAAATCAACCCAATGAAATTGAGCCAAAATACATAAATAGAGAAGGACCATAACTCCAAACGTGGGATGACTTGTGAAAGTGGACAAGTGTAGGGAGTTAGAGAAATTTGAGGTATAATAATTTGGAGGGCTTAAACCAATAGAGGCATCAACCGATCAGCATCCAAAACAACATTCTACTTTTTTCCTTGATTTTTCTACTACTTTGTTTTATTTTTGTGAACTGATATTGTTTCATATATTCTGTTTATTCATGTGGACAAATTACATATATATAGGCAATAGATTAAGAATATCTAAGGTCTCTATTTAATACCCTCTACAAGTTTATATGACCACCTAACCATCCATTTTCTAGAACTGTAATTAAGTTGTGCATTCCCATAAACCTACTATGCTGCACATTCCAATACTCTTAACACTTTCCCTCAAGTTGGTGCATAAATGTTAATCATGCCCAACTTGCTACACAAGTGATTAACTCGAGACCAGTGTAATAGTTTGGTGAAAAGATCAACAACTTGGTCTTATGTCCGAACAAACTCTGTAGTAATTATATTTAGTTGTATATTTTCTCGCACAAAGTGACAGTCGACTTCAATGTGTTTAGTACGCTCATGGAAAACCGGATTAGGCAATGTGCATGGCTGCCTGATTATCACAATAGAGCTTAGCAGGACTTGTAGCCTCCACTCCGACGTCTTTTAGAAGTTGGATAATCCACATTATTTCGCATGTACCTTGGGCCATAGCTCGATATTCAGATTCTGCGCTGGAACGGGAAACTATACTCTTTTTTTTGCTTTTCCAAGAAATTATATTCCTTCCAACAAATACACAGTAACCGCATGTGGACCTTCGATCTTTTTTAGAGCCTGCCCAATCATCATCTGTTGAACACTCTATCCTCATATGTCCATGATTTTGGTATAAAATCCGCGACCTGGAGCCCCTTTTAGGTAGCATAGAATATGCTCCACAACCACCCAATGATCGTTAGTAGGAGAGGACATAAACTGACTGAAAACACTTATAGGGTATACAATGTCTGGCCGAGTGATTGTAAGATAGTTTAGCTCCCCAACTATCCTCCTATACCGTTCAGGATCTTTGA